CACTAGTGGAATCTAATAAACTTAGTTTTTCAGCACTGGAATCACAGAAGTTGTGGAAGAGCTTGATAAAATGCTAGAACTCAATAATTTGCTCATCTCACTAAAGAACCATCCAGATGCAGCTCGCTTTGCACCTGGGCTTGGGGCAGTTTCTTTACATGGTAAGAATCTGTACTGGTCTCTTGGTTGTTCGTCTCTAATGGCTAATTTTGGACACCCCAGCTCTACTTACTTGTATATCTGACTTAGGTGGCGACTACGATGCTGATAGAAAGATGGACGACTTGAAGCTCCTCTTCAGAGCATATGTTACAGATACTTTATCCACAGGTCGCTTGGAAGAGAGTAAGGTAAACAAAGGCTGGCATGCATATTTTTTAGCTTGTAAACTGCTTTAACAACTGCTACCATTGCTGCTGCCGTTTATACTATTCGTATTCATGATTAATTTTTGGTTGTGTAGCATTCCGCGTTGAATCAGTTAAGGAATATATTTGGTTTAGGCAAACGAGAGGCAGAATCCATTGTGCTTGATGTTACTTCGAAGGTTTACCGTAAACGTCTTTCACAGTCTGTTACATCGGGTGATTTAGAAGCAGCGGACAGCAAAGCAGCCTTCCTTCAAAATATCTGTGAGGAGTTGCATTTTGATCCACAAAGAGCCAGCCAGATTCATGAAGGTAATGGAAGTTGTAATGCTCGTCATTTGTACAAATTATTCTAAAACACTCACCAAGTCATTCCATTTTTATTTTGTCAATCAAACAGTTAATGTGCATTTAAGAATATCTGTTCCCTTGGTTCATAATCAAACACTACCTTGGTGTTATAATGAATAGTCTATTTTGCCCCTCTCAGAATCTGACTTGTGTTTCTTGTTCTAGAAATATACCGACAAAAGCTTCAGCAGTGTGTTGCTGATGGAGAGCTGAATGATGATGATGTTGCTGCATTGTTAAGGCTACGGGTCATGCTTTGTATTCCTCAGCAGACTATTGAGGCTGCCCATTCAGATATCTGTGGCAGTTTGTTTGAAAAGGTAACTACAAATTTTCTTTTAAGGTTCTTTGTTTGGTATCTGCGATATTTGGTTAGCATGGACCAGTATGGTGGTTTTCCTCATGACCCATCATCTGCATGTGTACATGTACCATAAATTTTTTTTTTCTTAGTTTGAGTTGCTCCTTAATGTAGTTTCCTATTAGAGGCTCCGCTATTTGTTATGTTTTGAGATGCTTTAATATGTTTAAAAATCTACTATTTTGGAATAAGCTTTATACTGATTCTTGTGGTGGTTTCTGTCCAGGTTGTGAAGGATGCAATTGCATCTGGTGTTGATGGTTACGACGCTGATGTAAAACAAGCTGTGAGAAAGGCAGCTCACGGTCTGCGATTGTCTAGAGAGGCTGCCATGTCTATTGCTGGCAAGGCAGTGAGTATCCATTTGATCGCTTTATTTATTTACATTTTTATGTAAAAAGTTTGTGAATTCAAATTTAACATGCTCTCTTCTTTGTTTACTTCAATCTATGCAGGTAAGAAAGATTTTTATTAACTATGTAAAACGAGCGCGGTCAGTTGGTAGCCGTACTGAGTCTGCAAAAGAACTTAAAAAGATGATAGCCTTCAACACATTGGTTGTGACTGAATTGGTGGCAGACATAAAAGGGGAATCATCTGATTCCGCCACAGAAGAGCCAATAAAGGAGCCAGAGCCAGAGGTCCTGGAGGATGAGGAATGGGAATCTATTCAGACACTTAGAAAGATTAGACCTGACAAGGAGCTTGCTGCAAAGTTGGGGAAGCCCGGCCAGACTGAGATTACTCTTAAAGATGACCTGGAAGAAAGAGAGAGGACTGACCTATACAAAACATACTTATTGTTTTGTATAACTGGGGAAGTGAAGAGGATTCCGTTTGGTGCTCAGATCACTACAAAGAAGGATGATTCAGAATATGTGCTACTAAATCAGCTTGGGGCGATATTGGGCTTAAGCACTACGGAGATAGTGGAAGTACACAGGAGCCTGGCCGAGCAAGCTTTCAGGCAACAGGCAGAGGTAATTTTAGCCGATGGACAATTGACAAAAGCAAGGGTAGAGCAACTTAATGAATTGCAGAAGCAAGTTGGCTTGCCTCCTCAGTATGTGGAAAAGATAATAAAGAATATAACTACTACAAAAATGGCAGCTGCGATTGAAACGGCTATTGGTCAGGGGAGGCTTAATATTAAGCAGATAAGAGAACTTAAAGAATCAAGTGTTAATTTAGACAGCATGATATCTGAGAGCTTGCGAGAAAGTCTGTTTAAAAAGACCGTGGATGAGATATTCTCATCGGGCACCGGAGAGTTTGATGAGGAAGAAGTCTATGAGAAAATCCCAGCAGATCTCAATATTAATGCTGAGAAGGCCAAGAATGTTGTTCGAGAGCTTGCACAGACCAGATTATCAAACTCATTGATTCAAGCTGTGTCACTTCTGAGGCAGAGAAATCGTCAAGGAGTGGTATGGATTAGTTTTATCTTTATTATTTTAGTCCTGTAACTCCAACATGCTAATTTTGCTTAGTTAATTGATGGAGATAGGCCGGTAAATTTGATGGAATGGCAGAGTTTGATGATTTGTTGTGCTTTGCAGGTATCCTCTCTTAATGACTTGCTGGCTTGTGACAAAGCTGTGCCTGCCAAGCCACTTTCATGGGATGTTCCAGAGGAGCTGGCCGATCTCTTCGCTATATACATGAAAAGTGGCGCGGCACCTGAGAAATTATCGCGCCTGCAGTATCTCCTGGGCATTAGTGATAGCATGGCAGCTACTCTCCAGGAGATGGGAGATAGATTACAAACCATCGGTGCGGAGGAGGAAAAGTTTGTATTCTGATCGTCTCTGAGTCGTAGTAGAAGGCACAACAAAGAATATGTGATTAGGGATTGTGAAAATTCTGGATAGCCGGAAAATAAGATTTGATTGTATCGTTTAATTTTGTTATACAACAAAATTTTCGACTGAATAGAATGTTTTGAATAAAATACATTAGGGAAGATCACTTTTGGTTTAGAATTTTATAGTTGCTTTACATTGCATTGTCTTGTTTGTGTCATTAAGATGCACAAGTGTTGGATTTACAGAATTTTCGGTTTAATTTATGGTTTAGCTCTTCTATGCAGCGAGGTCAAATTTTGGAGAAATGTTTCGGTTTGGAGAAATTTTTTGGTGTGACCGTATCATACGACATGGTGTTGCAAACTTTTATATATTAATATTATTGCTGTTATGTTATTTCAGTGTTCACTTGTTATAATACGTAAAGTGATGGTAGTTTGGTTTGATGTTTGCACCCAAGAAATTTTGACCTTCGTACTTGTTTATGTTTGGAATTCTATTCACTATGTAAATACCTATTTGGTTTAGATCATTTGATTAGAGCAGTGTACACGTTCTTTTGCCCTTGAGTTAGAATCACCCTCTATGAATATTGTGTTAGCTAAGAATATCTCAGTTTTGTCAAAAAAAAAAGAAAAACTATGTTAATTAGCGTCTTCAATGCTTTCAAGACTCTAATTGGCAAGACGAATACTGACCAACCAGACATGAACATCGTGTGACTAGAAGATGACAATTATATTAAATTTATCTTAGGTCCACTAAGTCCATATTATCTCTTTCGTAATCTTTCCTGTCATGATTTTACTTTAGCTGATCTTATGGTTTTGTCAAATATAAACCAGCCATATTCAAAGGAAAACCGAAAACGTTGAATAAAATCCTTCAGATGCCACTAAATTCGTGTAAAAAAGTCTTCTATGAAGCGTACTTTGCAACCATCGAAGAAGAACAACTTGAGTGTAATCGGAGATATCTTATGTGATAAAATAATCCGGCATATCCGTGTTGAATGTAAGAATTTGTGCCTATACTACAAGGTATATCCGTGTTGAATGTAAGAATTTGTGCCTATACTACAAGGTGTTGGAAGATTCTAAAGTTTGGGGACATTGCACAAACATTTATTCAACCATGGTCACGCAAAGGTGGTAGAAAATATGGAAGTGGCATCAGCCTTTTTGTTCGATTGACTGATTAGATACCTCCATGAAAAAACACGTTCACACACTAACATATAACAGTCATGGTCAAATTAACCACTATTGTGTTTGGTTTCTCCCACTTCGATAACTTGAAAATTATCTAGAAAAAGTAACAAAGTAAAATTCAGAGGAACATCTTCTGCATTGAAGAAAGTATCTCAATTTACTTATAAGTTCATGTAAAGTTTCATCTCTTATAAATGTAGGATTCATTCTCAACACGTCCCATATGTGTGACATATTTTTAAGCTTAACACATGGACAACACAAATCGGATGGCGTGGAGCACGTATAGTTGTTAACCTTCACACGTGGGACAAACCTGGTTTTGATACTATGAAGAAAGTTAGGGTTCCACCTTAAATCCAATTGGCAATATAGAGTAGCATAACATATTTATAAGCCCATGCAAGATTTCTCTTCTCATCAATATATGATTCATTCTCAACATGCATTACAATGATTTGTAGGCCACCAGACACTTTTCCTATGAAGTGGAATTTGGGTTGAAGGGTTAAATACTAATTAAACAATAATTAAATTGATAAAAAATTTGTATTTGATGTTTGCTTAATGATTTTCGAACTCTCATTTTCTTCTTCTAAACTTGTCTCATTTTATTGTTCTCTTATTTTCTCTTAATTTATTCAATTCTAAGACAATAAAAAGATAAAGTAATACATTTGTAATATAACGATGTGCCAAAATCATTTCCCTTCATATTTGATTTTTATCATGTTTTGCTGGTTCAGATAACAATTAAAATCTGACGACTTTGGTTGGTTTGGCTAAACCTTTAGGACCTTTGACTTGGAACAAATAATAGTAAATCGGCAAACAGTTTATAGTCCACTAACGTAATCCTCTATTTATGCAACCTTAAGGTCCATTCTACTGGAGAAAGAAAAAAGGAAAAGAAGTACATTGTACCCTCTATCTTTTTGGCTATGGCTTTTATCTCACGCTATATCAGATTCTGCTTCTTTGTGCTTTTATTCCTGTTTAGGATATCGTCTGCCCAATTGTCCTCCAATTACTACTCGACAACGTGCCCTCGAACCCTTTCCATTGTTCGGAATGCAGTTGTTAATGCAGTGGTGAAGGAGCATCGCATGGGGGCATCCTTACTCCGTCTCCATTTCCACGATTGCTTTGTCAATGTATGTCCCTTCCTACCCTCCGTCCACTCTCAGATTTTGCGAGCGCATTTATGAAATAGTTCTTGCTGTAGAAAGAAAATAGTAACCTTGCATGCACGCATGTATTTCACAAGATTAACTTTCTTTTGTACTAATTCAGTTCAAATCTTATGTCACAAATAAAATCCTTCTCCTTGGTCATTATTAGTATTGACGATTTTTTCGTGTTATTTCAAATAGGGATGTGATGCGTCTGTTCTATTAGATGACACTGCAAATTTTACTGGGGAAAAGACGGCGCCACCAAATACAAACTCATTGAGGGGATTTGAATTGATCGATACCATAAAATCTCAGCTAGAAGGTGCCTGCCCCGGGGTTGTTTCCTGCGCAGATATACTTGCCATTGCAGCTCGCGATTCAGTTGTTTCAGTAAGTAACATAAAATGTATAAGTTAGAATAAAATTTACGGAAATTGATTTAAATGTATATATGGTCATGCAGTTGGGAGGGCCTTCATGGACGGTTCAGTTGGGCAGAAGGGACTCCACCACAGCAAGTTTAAGTGCTGCAACTAGTGAGCTCCCATCTCCAAGTCTAAATCTTAATGACCTCATCACTTCTTTCTCAACTAAAGGATTTACTACCAAAGAATTGGTAGCTCTCTCGGGTAAGTACATATGTAACGAAAAAAAAGCAACAACATATTTGGGAAATTCTCGAATTTCAATTACTTGACTTTCCAAGCAATTATATTAATCACCATTGAAAATCATCAAAAATTTGTGACTAGGATCTCACACAACGGGCCAAGCAAGGTGTCTAGTGTTTCGAGAACGGATACATAATGAGACTAACATCGATTCATCATTTGCTACATCTTTGAAATCAAACTGTACTGCGAGCTCGGGGACTGATGACAACCTTTCTTCACTAGACGTCACAAGCCCTTTCATCTTCGATAATGCTTATTATAAGAACCTGGTGAATAGCAAGGGTCTAATGCATTCTGATCAGCAGCTTTTCAGTGGTGGCTCAACAGATTCTCTGGTTAAAACTTATAGCACCACTGCCGAAACTTTTTATACAGATTTTGCAAATGCCATGCTGAAAATGGGGAGCCTTAGCCCGCTTACGGGAAAGAGTGGTCAAGTTCGTACCAACTGTCGCAAAATAAACTGATCCGGGCCATTTAAAATGATCTAGTTCAGTAAAACCAAGTGACTTCAGATGCTGTAATTTTTATTTCTAAGTTTTCATAGTTCTTGTTTGATTAGATTTGGTGCGAAATACTTATATGCCATGTCTCGAAGCAGAAATGTAGAATTACTACCACTATCCAATAAATAATCAATACTAATATAGGTGATCAGAACTGCAAATTCAATTATGTCAGAAGACTAGTATTAATTAAAACAAAATGGCTAAGTTATTAGGTGTGAGCTAACAATTATCCTTATTCTATTTACAGCTTCATTCATTTCTAAATGGCTAAGTTAACATGTTACTCCTTCAAAAGTTCTCATCTCACTTCTCTTAAATAACTAAAAACATACAGATGAAGCTTTACAGTAGTGGCAAAAAGCTCATGCCTATGCATTTTAGTGTGGATTAATCTCCACCAATTCTCAAGCCACCTAACAACTAACTATTAACTTAATGTTATTGCTCCAATAAAAAAATTAATTAACTTACAAGTGCCTCAGTTATGACTGAGGGTTGAACGAGTAATCGGGTTGGGATCAGGTTAGACCTATAAACCTATGATTCGGATCCTTCCGTTGTAACCTAAAAAATACATACTAAACTAAATATATTGGAAAGAGTACTAAAAAAATAAGATTCAAGTAAATAAAAGAAAACCCAGTAGCCCAGCACTTTCCCTCCTCTTCCATTGCACCTACCGCCGCCCACCGGCCATCAAACTTCTCTACAAGTCATGCACGCATGCACTTTTCGTTTTTAATCTTTGATTTAATGTATCTATAGACTTTGAGCTTGTGATGTATATATGTTAGTTTATGAGTGAATTGAGCTGTAATCCTGTAACAGAATCACAGCACCTGGTCCGAGTCTTCCAACTTATAATGGAGTAAGATTATATAAGATATTCGTCAACATCATCCACAAACTTTGAGACTTTTCGTGATTAAACCAACTTTATCTTTTTTCTTATAAAACTATACATATAATAGAATGCGGCTGATCATAAGCTAAACCATAGGGAAGTGTAGGCAAAGAAAGGTAATCCAACAACTCTAGTAGTTATTATGCTCCAAGCTAGCCTCCTAAATTAGGTTAATTAACCTCTAAAAGCTCATAAAAAATGATGTCTTAAAGGATTATATTTCACAATCAGATTCTAGACCTTTATGTTTTGAATTTATGAATAGGCATAAGAACATTATAAGTGGTTTATTGTTTTAGTTGTGCGGCTTTGTTCCGCTCTAGTTTTTTCTTTTTGGGGTTATTATGTTTATAGTGTTTTGTAGCTGTCTTTGATGTACAATAGAATTTAGATAATGGATGTCATTTGTATAAATGATTGAAATTAAAAGTTGGCTAACTAAATTGACTTTTTGAAGCAAATACAGCAAAAACTTAGCTTAAAAAAGAGGATCTCCTTGGGAGTCCTCTTAACTAGTATAGTTTTGTTTGCATCAAAGTTTAGTATGTCAAAGTTTTTATTCTCAAGAACTTAGGAAGTTGCCTAAGAGATTAATTCAAAGAATCAAATGGCATTAGATAATAAGAAACCTATGCAAAGTATAGGGAAATATTATTATATTGAAAATTTTTCAAACTCCCTATTTATTATTACATGGCCAACTTCTTTTTTATTTATTTTAATCATTCATCAAATGATTCAAATCGCCAACTTGAGTTGGCAAACGGCCGGCAAACCTTCTATTGTATACATTAAGATACAGAAATGTAGAGACTGACACCACACCTCCTACGCCGCCCCCAAAACCCAAAAATAAAACATAGAAGAAAATTCCTCTATAAAAGCACTCAAACTCCTTGATCTTCATCATCACTACTTAGCCATTGGACAAGAAACTAACTATACCTATATTGTCATGGCTGCCCTTCAATCTTTACTAGTATGTATTGTAGTGGCAGTTTCCATTACCGTAATACCAACGTCTGCACAACTAAGTGCTGATTTCTACAACAAAGTGTGCCCTCAGGCACTACCAGCCATTAGAGCAGTTGTCAAGCAGGCCATCTTTCGTGAGCCGCGAATCGGAGCCTCTCTACTCCGCCTTCACTTCCATGACTGCTTTGTTAATGTAATTAGACTAAACTAAATTGGGTGCATGTGCATGCATTGGGCTTGCCAGAATTGTCTTTAGTTATGAAATTGTTCATTATTTAGTCGCTGAAATATTATTGTGTTCATGGTTGTTGAATTTTTTTTAGATCAACGGGTCCGAGAGGCCCCACTCTAATGACACAGATATTGTCCAACTTTACCATCTGCCAAATCCGTTAGATGTGGGGTTTTATCACAAGGGTTTTGGTTGGTATTAGTTAGAGTGGGGTAATCCTACTTAAAGTTATTGCTTTTCTTTACCCCCCACCGATGTGGGACCGCTAACAATGGTTGACTATGTACAGGGCTGTGATGGATCAATTCTACTTGATGACACTTCGAGCGTCACTGGTGAGAAGACAGCTCTCCCAAATGTGAATTCAGTGAGGGGATTCGACGTAATTGATGATATAAAAAAGGCCGTGGACAAAGCTTGCAACCGCAGCGTGGTCTCATGTGCTGATATATTAGCAGTTGCAGCTCGTGATTCTGTGTTCCTTGTGAGTATAACGCTGGGTTCATTAATATTGTCTCAGTATGCGCATGTCAGAATGTTAAAAAAAATGCTGAGGCTATAGAGTGGCCGCAATGCCAAATATATTAAACACTGACATATGGTGAATAAATTTGACGATTCTAACAGTAATCTTTTTTAATGAAATTTGTGTTTGTGTTTGTTACTTTTTAGCTGGATGGACCTCTTTACCAAGTCCCGTTAGGAAGAAGAGATGCAAGAACTGCAAGCTTGAGTGATGCAAATAGAAATCTTCCACCCCCATTTTTCAACTTCCCGCAGCTTGTCTCTAACTTCCAAGCTCATGGTCTGGACCTAACAGACTTAGTTGTCCTCTCAGCCGCCCACACCATTGGACTAGCTCGGTGCACCACCTTCCGGGCCAGAATTTACAATGACACCAACATAGACCCCAGCTTCGCAGCCTCAGCGCAACAAAATTGCCCATCAAGTGGAGGAAATGACAATACATTGCCACTAGATGCAACTACAAGGAGATTTGATACCGTCTACTTTAATTCCTTGTTGAAACAAAAGGGTCTCCTACATTCTGATCAAGAGCTATTTAAGAATAATGGCACGGATAGTGATAAGCTGGTGTTTAAATACAGCAGGAACCCATTTGCTTTTGCTAGAGACTTTTCAGCCTCTATGATCAAGATGGGTAACCTCAAGCCTCTTACTGGGAATGATGGAGAAGTAAGATTGAACTGTCGGAAAATCAATTAGTGTGTGTTGTTGTCACGATGAAAAAGATATATGTTTTTCATGATTTTGCAAAGTAGCATAATCTATGATCATGCTATATAATGTACCCAAAAACGACTATTTATTGAATAATATGGAGATTGGCTTTGAGATTAGAATACAACGTGTACATGGTATGTAAAAAGCCAAGCTCTTTTCCATATTGAACAGAACACGGAAATATGAGGAATTTAAAGTTATAGATCCAACCATGGTTGAACCGTCAGCTCCCTAATCTAACAAATCTCTATTGTTTGGCAAAAAAAAATATATTTAATTAATTAATTAGTAGCTAAATGGCCAAGTTATTAGGTGTGAGCTAACAATTAGCCTTATTATTCTATTTACAGCTTCATGCATTTCTAATGGCTAAGTTAACGTGTCATTTTTCAAAAGTTCTCTTCTCACTTCTCTTAAATAACTAAAAATATGTAGATGAAGCTTCACCGTAATGGCGAAAAGCTCATGCGTATACATTTCGGTGTGGATTTAATCCCCACTGATTCTCATGCCTCCTAACAACTAACCTATTAACCCACTAATGTTATCACATTACTAAAAAAAAAAAATTAACCTACAGGTGCGCCAGTTATGATGTGAAACCCCACCCCCAATTTTTAAATTGTAATTTCACTTTATCCCAAAAAGTGTTTAAAATGTGCATTTGGGTCCTTATTCTTATCTAATCCGGACCCTCCATCTTGTTCTCCCTTCTCCCTCACGCTGCCACATGGCAAGCACTGAACTCTCTCTCTCTCTCTTCCTCCTCCTCTCCCCGAGTCAACCTCTTCACTCTCTCTCTCTCTCTCTCAGCTCTCTAACTCTCCCACTTTCTCCCCGATCGAACCCACACCACCTACGCAAACTTGAGACACCCACACCCCGACGACGGCGCGCCACCACCACCGGCTTCGTGGGCTCTCTCTCTCTCACCCTCACTCGTCTCTATGGAGCTCAGCGAAGCCCAGCAACCCAGGAAACCCCGACGGACTCCCGTGCGTTTCAAACGAAATTCCGGCCACCCCCGACCTTTTCTCGGCAAACCAAGGGTAGCAACCTCTTCTCATTGTCTCACTTTTCAAGTTGACACTTAGATCGGAGTCTAGGGTTACGTTTTGGTGTCGACCGAAGCACGGGAGGCTCCGGCCTCCATCCCCGGCGAGGAATGGGTCACTGACCCAAGTCCAGTGAACCTAGGCCCTTTTTGGGTCGCATTAAGAAATCGGGCCCTAAGCCCGTTTAAACCTGTATGGCCCAAACCCTTTTATGTTTATTTATATTGTTTTATTTTATAACCCAAAAACAATCGGGCCAGGCCTCAATGCCTAGCCCAATTGGAAACCCCAAACCCTTTCGGTCTTAAGCGTTAAAGCCGTGTAGGCCTAGGCCTTCGGGCCTTTGCAGCCAGCCCACTTAAAAGCCTAGACCCAAAACCCTATTGGATCCAGGCCTTTGGGCCATGGATCCGGTCCACTAACCTTAGGACCCAAGCCCAAGAACCCGGCCCAGCCTACTGAACCGGTCCGGCTTTTGACCCGGTGTGACCGTTGACCTAGTCAACGATGACCGTTGACTTTGACCGATCAACGTTAACAGTTGATTTTCGGGTTTCATCCGGAACCCTCTTACGCTAATTTCGATGTCCCAGGCCTGTTTTCGATGTCCTTTTTTCCAAATTAAATCGTTTGAGTAGAGTTTAACTAATTGAACCCTTTTTATGCTTAGGTGCATATATTGCGGCGCTTAGCCTTTGCTAGTCTGCACATCTTTTTTATGGCAAAGTAGTGTGAGTGGACTCCTTCTAAAATGTATGTTTTAATAGTATAAATGCATACATGAAAACGTGATTTAATGATTATGTTTTATGATACTGAGCTTATTTTGGAATACATATTTTCTATCTCATCCATGTTCTTGTAGAATATTTAATGGATGACGATATACTATTTAGAACATGTTTTTACACACTTCTTTATAGTATAGATGATGAATGACTTTATATTATGAAGATGCTTTTGAGATATATGTACCTATGTTTGGAAATATTATTTTCAATGGTTTTGTGCGTATCTAGTGGTCCCTATTATTGACTTTTGGGTTGGGTGTTGTAGGAGTTTTCGAGCGATTGATACTTATATTGACATTCGGGTTGGGTGCTGTAGGAGCCTTGGGCGATTGATACTTTCGGGTTGGGTGTTGTAGGAGCCTGCAGATGATTGATATTTGTTAAGGAAGTGTTCTGAAGGAAGAGTTCTATATGCTTTCGGACGATACTGATAGCACTAGTTAGCATACTATATACGAGATATGTTTTATGAAGTTTTACAGCATACTAGGATTTTCGGAAAAACCTATCACATATTGTGCTATTAGTTTTCATAAAACTTTAAGAGTTAGTATGTTGATAAATGTTTTAGTATTATATATATCAACTTGGTAAACTCATGTTTGTTTTGCGTCTCTTCAGAACTTAGAATCGAAGTGTACAATCTCGGCATCAAGGCACTTCCGCATCGGCATCTTCGAGTCCTCTCGATGTGGAACCCATTCCTTTATTCATTAAATTTTATGTTATTTCCTTGCTAGTGTCAGTAAATTAGTTGTATGCTTTGAACATGTTCTTCATTTGCATATTAATTATATTTAAATTTATAAGTCTTATTTATTTCTTGTTCTCATGCATCCTAAATGGCTTGTGTCACCTTCGGGTGTCGGCCAGCACGTACCTACCCTGATGTTCGGAACGTGTCATATGACTAAGGGTTGAATGGGAAATCGGGTTGGGACCAGGTTAGACCGATGATTCGGATCTTTCCGTTGTAACAAAAAAAAAAAATTCATATAGAAACAAAATATCTTAGAAAGAGTACTAAAAAAATAAGATACAAGTTTGTACCATACTTATGGTCTCTGTATTTAGACATCGTATAAATACTCAGGGGACTAAAATGTAATTATGTAATAAATGAAGGGGTAAATATGTAATAAGTGAGGAACCCTTATTCTATAAAAGGACTCATCATTCTCCTCATTAGGGGAGATCAAGTTTTAGGCCATAGGAAAAGAGCACACAAATAATAGGCTAGAGAGCACACTGCCTCTAGCCTTCTTGTATATTCACCATTTAGAGTGAAACAATATCAACATTAGTGTGGACGTAACCCAAACATTGGGATGAACCACGATACATCTTGTGTTCTTTACTTTCTTGCAGATTCATGGTTGGATTTACGTTGTTCCAAGACCCTTCCGGTTTTGTGCATTAACACAAGTAAATAACAGAAAACCAGTAGTTCAGCAGTTCCCCCTCCTCTTCCATTACATCTACCGCCGCCCACCGGCCATCAAACTTCTCTACTAGTCATGCACGCATGCACTTAGCGTTTTTAGTCTTTGATTCAATGTATCTATAGATTTCGAGCTTGTGAAGTATGTTAGTTTATGAGTGAATTGAGCTGTAAGCCTGTAACACTACAATATCATCCACAAAACTTTGAAATTTTTTCGTGATTAATCCAATTTAATCGAATTCTTATGAAATTATACATATAATAGTATGCGGCTGATAAGCTAAACCATATCGAAGTGTCGACAGAAAAAGGTAATCCAACAACTCTAGTAGTTATTAGGCTCCTAGCCTCCTAAATTAGGTTAATTAGCCTCTAAAAACTCATGAAAATAATGTCTTAAGGATTGTATTTCACAACCAGAGTCCAGATCTTTATGTTTCGAGTTTATTAATAGGGATAAAAAACATATAACTGGTTTATTGTTTTAGTTGTGTGGCTTTGCTCGGCTCTAGTTTTTTCTTTTTTGGGTTATTACTTTCATTCTTAATGTTTTGTAGATGTCCTTGATGTACAATAGAATTTAGCTAATAAATATCGTTTCTATAAATGATTGAAATTAAAAGTTGGCTAACTAAAATGATTTAGGACTAATTTGGGATTGCTATGATTTTTTTATTTATTTAAAAAAACTACTTTTGTAGTGCTTTAAAATTAGTCATTGCAAAATAAAGTAGCCGACTATTTGATAAATTGTATTTTTAAAAGTGTTTTGAGTAAGAAAATCAGTGTAAAAACGTTTGGTAAATTTTAATGTAAAAGTGATATAATTGTATATAATGACAAAAATGGACATGATAGTGTGAGCGACAACAACTAACAACGGTAACAAGGGCAATGGTTGTGATGGTGGTGGTGGTGCCAATAAAAGATTGTGGTGGTTGGGCTGTAGAGGTAACAATGGTGGTAGGGGCGGCAATAACGGCGATGGTGGTGATTGCAATGATGGTAGTGGTCGTTTTGGTTGTGGTTTGGTGACAGTGGTGGTGATTGTGTTTATGGAGGTGGTAGTGGCGGCAACAATGGTAATGGCAATTGTGGTTATGGGTTATGGTGGTAGTGGTGGTAGTGGCGGTGGATATGGTTGTGGTGGTGGTGGTTGTGGTGGTAGCGCGATTGTGGTGTGGTGGTATTGGCAACAATGATGATGGTAATGACAATGGTGTAAGAAGTTAGGGTTTGTAGTGGTAGGTGGTGGTGTTCACTTTGTTCTCCAAGGATAAAATGTGTCTAAAAGGATAAATAATGTCATTTTTAAGAATTAGTGAGCGTATTACATGAATTAAAAATATTCATTAAAGACTCAACTCGGCTTTTTATTAAAACATCTTTTAAAAACAACTTATATGCATGCTGCTTTTAAAAGTTGTCTGGAGGCCATTGCTTTTAAAGTACATAATATTTTATTTTTACCAAAAACTTTTTTACTGCTTAACTTTACACTGAAACAATTTTTGGTGAAAAAAATAACACCAAATTGGGCCTTAATTTGCAACAATTATAGCAAATACTCAGCTTAAAAAAGGAACCCCTTTTGGAAATCCTCTTAACTAATATAGTTTTGTTGCATCAAAGTTTAGTATGTGAACGTTTTTATTCTTAAGAACTTAGTAGTTGCCTAAGAGCTTAATTCAAAGAATCAAATGGCATTAGATAATAAGAAATCTAAAACAACTTATGTCCTAAGGTTCTAAAAGATGTTAGGCGTTAGTCAGGTGGCGAGCTGGGGCCTAGCGTCTAGGCGGATTAGGCAGA